GCAGAAAAAGCATTTGACAAAATCCAACATGCATTTATGATAAAAACCCTACAAAAAATTGGAATAGGTGGTCTCTACTTCAAACTGATAGAAGCCATCTATGAAAAACCAACACCCCCGCCCTGTAGCCCATCCACATCCAGCATCCTGCCGGGTCCTTGGCCACCTCCACCTCCGTCACCTCAGGGCAGCACGCCATCCTGCAGCATCACGCGGCCACCACCACTGCTGCCACCATTGGCACCCACCCCCATGCCCAACCCCAGCCCCTGGCCCAGGTGCACCACATCCCCCAGCCCCACCTGACGTCCATCTCCCTGTCCCACCTCACTCACTCCATCATCCCCGGCCACCCGCCACCTTCCTCCTGTCACCCCGTCCACATCAACCTGCCTCCGCCATCCACCCCGGGCCCTCCGCCTTTCACCCTGTCCCACAGGCTGCCCTGTACCCCACCCTGCTTGTCCCTCAATGGCAGCTGCCACCGCCCTGCACATCCACCAGCTGCTTCACCCCATCTTCGCAGGGCAAGACCTGCAGCACCACCCCGCCCCACCCCCTCCACGAGTTGGGGCGTGGGAGACTCCCAGGCCAGGGCAGGCACCCCACGGTTCTTCCCCCAGGGTGTGGAGCCCAGAGTGCCAGCCGGGCATATTGGGCCTGCAGTATCCAGTGTCCGGGAGCCAAAGCGCCGAGCTTTGGTTTGCAGGGTTGGGCTGGGAGTGAGGCTTTCTTTGGGTTTACTATCAGGGATCCCCTTCCTCCTTCTGCTGTCCTCCCCCTCTCCTCTGTCTCTGGGCTAGGGAGCTCCTGTCAGTGCTGCCCACACCTCCAGGTCGTCACCTCCCCATGGTCCCCTCTTGCCTCTACTTTTTATCCTGAGCGCCTCCTCTCTACTGGCCTCAAGACACTCTCCTTGTCTCTGGGCCCTGGAAGGTCCTGCACCATCCGCTCCTGCCTTCCTGGTGCCCTGTTGCTCCTGCTCTGCAGTCGTGGGTGGTGTCTTCCCTGTCCCTCAGTGACATGTTGCCCAGGTGGGGTGGGAAGGAAATCTGACCCGGAACCAGATGTGGCCCAGTCCCTTGTCCAGAAGAGGCCTCCGCACGGACCCGGGGAGACAGTCCTCCTGACCGGGGCTGTGACCGCTGCCTGCGTGCTTCCCAGGGCAGGTGTCTGTGTGATGGGCATATCTTCTGTTGTGCTGATGTTCCCTTCTTACTTTATAGACCTTTTTAATGTAAAAATTGCACTGAACTCTATAAAGGTAAATGCTGCTTTTTGTAGCTTGTATAAAAAGGTTCCATATTTGTAATATACTGCACTAATTTTTTTATGTCCAGCTCTTTAAGTGATCCTTGTTCTAGTGGTTTTGTGTAAATATGTTTGCCCTAGTCGAATTAAGAAACTTTAAGGGTTATAAAATGAAAGCAAAAAAAAAAAAAAAATTTTTGTTTTCTGCTAGATACAAAAACAATAAATAAATAAATAAATAAACCATTCTGAGAAAACTGAATACTTACATGCAGAAGATTGAGTCTACATTTATATATCTCACCATGTACCAAACTAAAATCAAAATGGGTAAAAAATCTAAATGTTAAAACAGAAACAATCTGCTGGAAGACAAAATAGGTACAATTCTTGAAGACATAGGCTTAGACAAGGACTTTCTGAATAGAACCCCAATGGCACAAGAAATAATAGAATCAACAAAAGGGATCATGTCAAATTACAAAGCTTCTGTACTACAAAGGAAACAACCAATGGAATGAAGAGACAACCTTCAGGGTGGGAAAAAAGTTTTGCCTACAGAAGACTAACATCAAGACTATATAAAGAACTCAAAAAAATTTGACCTCTCAAAATAAAAGACCCAGTTCGAAAATGGGCAACCAAAACGAAACTGATAACACTTCTCAGAACTACAAATGGCCAATACATACATGAAAAAATACTACTGCTGCCCATCAGAGAAATGGAAATTAAAACTACATTGCAAATTCCATTTTACCTCAGAAAGAATGGTTATCATCAAAAAAGTCTAATAAATGTTGATGAGAATGGGGGGAGGGGCGGCACTTTTCTACACTGTCAGTGGGAATGTAAACTAGTACAACCAGTAGGAAAATCAGTGTGGAGATTCCTTAAAACACTAAAAATAGAAAGTCCATTTGAGCCAGCTATGTTCCTTCTAGATATCTTCCCAAAGAGTTAAAGTCATAGTACAGAGATACATGCATAGCCATGTTTACAGCAGCACAATTTATAAGAGCTACATCGTTGAAGCAGTGTACATGTCCATCAGCAGATGAATGCATAAGGAAAATGGTATTTATATACAATGGAGTACTACACTGCCATAAAGAAAGATAAACTTCAGGCATTCATAGATTATTAGATGCAATTAAGAATATAATGTTAGGTGAAATAAGTCTGACACACAAGTTCAAATATTCTCTTATATGATAAATAACATATATAAAAATACAAAATAGAAGTAGGGAGAAGTTCAAATACTTCCTCAAACTGCCTATTTCATTGTTTCAAAATTATTTTAATATATATACTAATTTGTTTCATTTATATTACTAGTTCATCTCAGATCTCTGAAAAGAAAGTTTTGTGTTACCAGTTTCTTTTTTGTAAGAATCTTTTTGGTTTATGTCTTGTACTCTGAGATTGAACTTTGAAGATAATGATACACATTGTATTAACTATTGTTATTCTCTTATTATTGTTATGGAATTTTACTTTTTCATAAAAAATAGCAAACATCAGTCAATATTACTGTCTACCAGATCATGAATCCTCCTATACAGTGTTCTTTGTGTTGCCCAATCAAAATAAACGCTTTCTTATGGTTTGTGTTGGTATTTTTCATTATATCCCAATAATTGTAAGTTAGCCTTCTTCCTATTGACTTGACTGTGCATTATTTTACTTATTACTACTGTAGAACACCACGAAAGTCTTGTTTAAAAAAAAGAACAAACAACTATACCTTCTCGGCTTATCCACCGCATGAATATTTGCTTTTTCCTTTATAAGTAATTCTGCTACTTGCTGTTTGTTATCCTTGAGAGCAAGCAAATATGGTGTGAGGTCATCCTGTGAATGAGCAGAATCAATTTATAATCCACACAATTGCCTATTTCTCAACTGAACTGAAAATCTTGTAAAAAATCCCCTCGTTGTAACCTAATACAGTAGGCCCTTGACTTATGAACTCGATTGGTTCTGAGGGCTGGTTTTAAATACGTCAATACAGCTGAGATCTGGATGTTTACCTAGGTACACATTATAGATAACAAGAGGCAGATGAATCGTCCATTAACCTATCTAACCCAAGTTGTTCATATGCCAGGCCAGTCCTGACTCAAAGGTCCACTGTATAGAGCATAAATACACAGCAGTCTCTTCCTCCTTAGTATGCTTCCACATGTGCTGTTCCTGAAAGGCACTACCTCTGCCTAGGGTTGCTATGTGAGCTCAGTGTCAAAACTCGCTTCAGGCTTTCACTGACTACAAGGATCTTTCCTTCTATCATAGCAGTTATCATGGTACTCTGGAGTTATGCTATGTCTCCTATCTAAAATAAAAGCATCTTTCAGGGCAGGGGCTGTATCTTTTATCTCAGTAGCCCCAAGCCCTAAAGCATAGTAGTAAAAGACTGAAGTATTTTTATTGACTTGATGAGCTAAATTATCTGTAGTGCAGGGTTTCTCAGTCTATATTCCAAGAATAATTTTCCACAAATTCTATGCCTCAACAGATTCACTAATCATTTCTTTGAGAAATTATTATAAAACTGTGCATCATTTATTCAGTATTAAAATCTCTTTAACTGTGCTTTGTTTCTACTTGACAATACTTTTTTTTCTGGCAAATATCAACATCTGAGGAATTAAGAGTTTCAGGGATACAATGCTGAGAGCTTCCCAGGAACATGGAAGTTTCTTCTGGGTTATGGAGGAAACTTGCTGGATTCTATGTATAGTGAGTACCAGGATCCATGTACAGATGTCAACCAATCCTGCTCCAAATGAGTCCCCGAGACATGGTCACTCATTTGTGAAATAGGCTCCAAATGAACTTTGACTGCTTATTACTAAACTGTCCATGGGTTTTCTCCTATTATTAGATGAAAATTTTATCTTAGAGCTGATGGAAAGTTTAGTATAAAACTTTGATTTTCACTTATAATGATAATCCTGGGATTCACATGCATATGTACTCTTTCTAATAAGTTTTCATTCTATTTCCATTCTAAATGCTAAGCCTATTTCTTTGTTTTAGGCAAAATATGTATAAATCAGAGGTAAAACTATGATTTATCAATTAAGAGTCTAATATGTAACGAAAGCCATTAAGTCACATGTATTTTTAAGGGACAATGCTGAAGAGAAAGATATAATATTGGTGGTAAAAGACATAACATCCAATTGTAATCATAATTAACCTAATAACACTTGTAGACATTCTAACAGGAATATGAGTATTTATAGTATAAGAAAAAGCTTTTTGTTTTTTGGTACCAGGGATCGAGCTCATGACCTTGCACTTGTGAGGCAGGAGGCGGAACCACTGAGCTAAATCCCCAGCCCAAGAAAAAGCTTTTTGAAACAACTTCTAAATTCAATTCCATTTCTAAGATGGTACCATAAAATACAGATGACTTTTTTTTGAGGGGTGCACCAGGGATCGAACTTGGGACCTTGTGTTTCGAGGCAGGCGGCGGCACCACTGATCTAAATCCCTGGCCCTATAGATGACATTCTTGTAAATTAATATAAAATATCATGAAACTCCTTACTCTTTATTAAAATATACCATAATTCAAGAGCCGTAAACTCATAAAGGCACAGTAGTGGACAGGAGGAAATACAGAGGTGGGTCAACAGCAAACTGGAAAAAATACTGAGAGCTGCAGATACAGGGGGCACACCCCAACAGTCATATGGTCTCTGATGAGACTAGTTCTCTTCTTTCAGAGAATCTCGAAACCCCAAGTTCTGGTGGAGTTTCATGAAATTTCAATATGGAATCTATGGAGGCAAACTGAATATAGCTAAGAGCCACATTCCATCCATAGTCTTTTGTTTATATCTTTGCTGTGCATGTGATTCCAAATGGTTGTGTAAAAGTAAATGTTTGGATGTAAAAATCCTTCCTTTAACATCATGTTTTACCAAAAAGTGAGATCCAGGGGCTGGGGATTTAGCCCAGTGGTACCGTGCCTGCCTGGCAAGCCCAAGGTCCTGAGTTCAATACCCAGTACCCCCCCCCCCAAGGGAGGTCCCACAATGTAATGAAAAAGATTCATTATACCTATTTTAATAATTTTTCTAACACTTTAATTTATCCTCCGTTTGTACATAATTGTTCCTGACTGTCAATTAAATAAATAGTTTCATAGGAGTGCTCAAACTAAATTATCAAAAGAATTCCCAGCTGGGTACGGTGGTACAAACCTATAATCTCATCCCTCTGTGGGCCCAGGCAGGAGAATCCAAGTTGGAGTCCAATCTAGGCAACTTAGTGAGGCCGAGTCTCAAATTTTAAAAAGGGGCGAGGAGTGCTGAATGCTGGGCAATTAGGCCAGAGGAAAGACCCTAGGTTCAAGCCTCAGTACCACACATACAAAATAAATAAAAATTTTAAAAAAGTATTCTCATCTACTTTCTTACTAACTTCATTGATTTCTGCCAGGGCTCCCTGAACTTAACACATTGAGATAGTCTATCATATGCCTTCATCTAAAAACAGGCTCATGGTTGCTACCATTCAGTTGAGAAAATCCTGAAAATAAACAACATTTGTTGACCTCATGCTCTGAATGAAAACAAAGAGATGTAAAACTCTTAAAGAGTTGGCTTAACCATAAGTGAATTTCTGCAGAGCTTCTCAATGGCAGTGAATGACTGCAGGTTGGCGGGAGAGTGGTGGTTTTTCTGCACGCCAACAGCACCAATAATACTCCTTTTCACTTCCCATTGACAGAGGTAGAGAAACACAAATGAAAGTTGAGCTAACATGTTGGAAAGGAGAGACTGGAAGAAAGTGGTATTTAATCAAACTCTTCCACAGATTTCTCAAGTTTCTGAGATTTGGGTATTCATCTTTCTACTTATCTATTAAATGGTTCTGAGCTATATCAGAATCTTGAGGAAATATTTTTAAATGTCCATGTCCACCCCTTAATAGATTTACTGAATCAAAATCTCAGGGGAGAGTCTCAACTTGTACATTTTCAAAACGTTCCCCAGATCACTGAGAAGCACAAGTCTAGACGAGAAGTAGAGAACCCAGAAAGTCACGTCAGTCTTGTCTCTCATCCACACAGCCAGTTCTTTTCACATTTGGGGATTTGGTCAAAAGGAGGGAAAGTAAGAGGTAGTTACTCCCTTAAAACTCCATTCAATCCTCTTAGGTAGGAGCAGAACAGGGACTAGTAAATTCAAAATGCAACTGACTTCATTATATAAGCCCCTTATCTCCCAGCTCCCAGCAAGACATTATAGGTTTGAAGGCAGAATTTAGAGTCATATTGGTTGCTGTTTCTGCCTGAAAAAGAGAGAATATTTGCTAAGTATTTATTCATTCCCCCTTGTTTTCCACCTAATCACCATCCAGCCAAGGCCAATTTGGCTTCATCAGAGTGCTCCTAAAATTGCAGGTTTGAAATTATACAACTTTCTTTCCTTACAAAGAATTTTTATTCCTAAACCAGGTACAGTCATGCATGCCTGTAATCCCTGCACTGTGGGAGGCTGAGGCAGGAAGATTGCAAGTTGAAGCCCAGCCTGGGCAATGAAGTGAGACCCTGTGTCAAAATATAAAATAACATAAAAGAGCTGGAAATGTAGCTCAACGTGAAGACCCTGGGTTCAATCTCCAGTAACAACAACAAAAAGAATTATTATTCTCAAAGCTGAAAATCAGAGAAACATACACTGCATTGTTTCTCTGGTGTGAGAAACTGAAAGTGGAAATAAGGACAAAAATGTATAATAGATATTGGGAAATGGTAAGAAAATGCTCAAATGGGAAGTGGAACAAGGGAGGGGGAAGGGGGATAGGAAGGAGGGGACAAGAAAAAAGTGAGAATAGAAGGAAAATACAGAAACAAAGCTTTTGTATATGGGGGGGTCAAAGGGAAAAAGGAGGAGCTTCATGGAAAAAAACAAGAGGCAGGATATATCATGCACAGGTGCAAATTCCCTATGATGAGTGTTATCATTTGTATATCTAAAATGTACCAATAAATGTTTTGGTTCAAAAAAGAAAAAGAAAATTGAAGACTATATTATTTCTCTACACATAAACCAGAAAAATAGTTTTTCAAACACAAACAAGGAGTTGGGGACTTAGCTCAGTGGTACTCCACCTAACTCGCAAGCACAAGTCCAGAGTTCAATCCCCGGTACCAAAAAACCAAAACTCCAAATAACCCCCATTGGCTTGCATATTTCTAATCACCTTCCCTTTCCATTTTTCCCATTTAAGCGAGATCACTGAAAATGAATCACTTTTATGACTTGTCAACAGTAACATGATTTCCACTTACTATAAGATGCTGTTGTTCTGTTTAAGTTTTAAAATAAAGCCTATTTTCCAAGGCAAATTTTGCTGTCCTAGTTTCTTTCAAACTAATTAATGGGAGGAAAAAAATCTTTGGTGGAAATAATGTCATAAAAAAGAAAAGATTTACTTTTTAAAAATTCAGTGTTTTCACAAATATTGCTATAAATGCATTAAAAAAACCTGTATCCTCTAGTATTTCTTTAAAATTATCAACACTTAAAGTGAAATCTTTAACAATTATTTTAAATACTGCATTTTCATTCATGGAATGCTTGAGCCTATGAAAAATTGACCCTACCTATATGTCACTGTTAACGTGAATCTACTTCAAATATTTTGGAAATAAAATGAGTTGATCTATACCTTATTTTTGGCCTCAGTCTTTGCATGGTGTGAAAGCAGTTTTGCTGCTATTGATGTGTTTTCACTAGAGACAGCATAGTGGAGAGCAGTGTTGCTGCTGACATCTGCAATATTCGGATCAGCACCATGTTCCAAGAGAATAGTCACACACTCCTCCTGGTGGCATTGTACAGCCTGTGGGTATTGTAACAAGAGACTGTCAACTCAAGGACTCAAAAAAGACCTTCTACATGCCTCACCAAGTAGTGATATTTAAATTAAATCAATTCACTTTTATTTTCAGCATTTAAATACAATCCATCTCACACTGAAATTGTTGCCTGCTACCTACCTTAATCAGAGGGGTACTGTTCTCACTGTCACAGGCATTGATTTCACACTTCCTGTCCACCAGGAGAGTCACCACTTCCGGATGGCCAGAGGTACAGGCAAAATGCAAAGCAGTCCTATGATAGTGGGAAAGATTATTAGGAAATTACAGAGCTCTGCTTCAAAATGCACAATTATTCTTGTAATCATGAACATTAAATAGCTTTCAAAACAAGTATTTAATTTTCTTCTAAAATGTTCAATACCTATTACTCATCAATTAGTGGAAGAGCAGCCAGGTGATTTTGTGTTTGTGGTGGGGGGCAGGGATGGAAGCCAGTGTCTTGCACATACTAAGCAAGAGCTATACACTGAGCCACCCCCCCCACCCCCCATTCCAGAGCAGCTTCCTGTTACAGGAAGTGCACGCTTTGGATTGAGCTCAACTTGGATTTAATTTCTCCTTTAAGCTCTTACTTTCTAGCTATCTTTTAGCCTTTCTATGCCTCAACTTTCTCACCTACAAAATGATGACTGAAAACAGTTATCTCATAGGACACTACTGTGATGGTTCAATAAAAATCCACCCAAAATATTTAGAACAGTTTCTAGAACAAGTAACTCAATAATTATTAGATATTGTAATTACTACTTAACAAAGACAACATTTCAATTCAGTAAATCAATTGCGTAAGAAGGTGCAACTATGCCATGTTTAGCACTCAGCCTTTGGATTCAAATCCCAGTCTGCTGAGTCAGTGTTGGCATGAATAAAGTTGCTTCCTGGGAAAAAGGCCTCAATGTCTCATCTCTCTACATGAAAATCCTGCAGCAGTGGCATTTAAAAAGTGTTCTTCCTATAGAGTCATCACACAATCCATAGTGTCTTACAATAAGTAAAATATGATACAGCAACAGGTCTGTGGCAGCTGTGGTCACATGGTTGGTATTTTAAAACTACTATAAGGAAAGAGGGCTGAATATCAGTAAAATAAGACAAAATAAAATGACAAGCCTTACTTTGATTTCATTTTAAACTGAATAAATCCCAGGATTCAAATGTGTAGGTATGGACCATTTTATTTATTATTTATATTTATAGAATGCACAGAAATCAAATATTTCTAATGTTTAATATTAGCACTTAGTACTGTTACACATTTTCAAAAGAGCTGTTAATGAGTCTCTTATAATTTCCTATCTTCAGAGCGTGTTTTTATTTGAAAAGAAAAAGGAAAAGCTTCAATTGAAATTGAGTTCTTCAATTTTGAATCTCTCAACTTGCTAGACTGAACAGGTAAGCATGATGGTTTAAGGAGGGAGGGATCCTGATAGTAGAATACATAATAGTTATTCAGGTTATGTTTGGTGAATAAATGGATTGAAAGAATGGATAAATACTGTGGGAGAATATAAAATAAAGCAACATTTCTGCGACAGTAATAATCATTTATATTTGATAACTTTTACTTCCATAAAGATACCATTAAAATGATCTGTACTTGCAAATATGTACTAAATCTATAATAAAATGCATATAATTAAGAATACACATAATAAAATCTATAAGCACAGATGATCTCTACTTCTGAAGAAGCTAAGAGCTGGCAGAAATACCAATACACACACAGAAAGTGAGCAATTATCTGTGCTGATTAATATTCCTCTTGTTCTCCTGTTTATTCACAGTGCATTTTGATTCGGATTTTATACATATTCGCTGTAGAAATCACAGGTAAGAGAAGAGAAACAAGGGCACACAGAACTATTGACAAAACTAATCATGTGATAATCCAAAAGGCAAGACTCAAAAAACCCTCAAAATACTGAATGAATACTGAGTATATTTCTTGGTGTCAATGAAAGTTAGAAACAAAAACATAGAGAAACCCTTAAATATTAGGAATAGATCAAAATTTCTAAATAATAATAAAGGAACAGAAAACTTCACTTATCATTCAAATGCCTGAAAATAACAAATTTTACCCCATTTTATACATGTATTTTGGCTAACACTTTAGTCTATTTGTGTATATGCAAAATCAAACTGACTTTTTTCTCACTTGATATACCAGACTGCCTCTTTCCATGTCAACATACATCAATGTCTATGCCAACTTCAATGGTCTTTTATTATTCTATCCTATGAATGTACTACAATTGATGCAATGTCTTCAGTGGGGTCTCCTTAATATATTGCTATTTTAAACAATGTTGAAGAAAACCAAATTACACGTGTTTCTATGTCCTAAGGATATTTTAGTATCATGGAATTAATGGTGGAAACATGCTTTTTAAAAATGTGGTACAGGGCCGGGGATTTAGCTCAGTGGTTCCGATGCCTGCTTCGCAAGTGTAAGGTCCTGAGTTCGATCCCCAGTACCAAAAAAAAAAAAAGAAACAAACAAACAAAAAAATGTGGTACAGTACTTACACCAAATTGTCTATTTGAAAAAGTCATTAGCCATCTTAAAGTTTAAGCAGCATTATAAACTGCTCTTCATCTTCACAAACTTTATAGGTGTAAAACAGCATTTCAATCCCTTTTAAAATTAAATTCTCTTTACCAGGGACTCTCTATAGTTTCTTCTATCTTTATAGGTCACTTGCATATCTGCAAAAAAATACTTTACCCAATTTAGAGTTCAGTATAGCTTAGTGCTAATCCCCAGCTTCAAAATAAATAATTAGAATTCAGTATTTTTTCCTTGATGATTTGAAAAAAACTCTGTAAAATGAAGATACATTTTTCATCTGATGTATGTTGTACATGTTTTGCAAGTGTGTTGTCTCTCATCTTGTTAACTTTTTTCTAATATAAAGGAGAGTTTATTTTTGCTTTTGATAGTCAAACTTCAGAATGCCTGCTTTTTTACAGGTGGTGTGTTTAGCATGCACCAGGTCCTGGGCGCAACCCCCCACACATAAAAAGAAAGAGTGCTTGGTTTTGAGGTCATTCTTAGGGAGGCACAAATAGGCATTTGTGTTTTCTTTTGGTACTTTTCTCATTTTGTAGTATTTAAAATGTTTTATCTATACTCCAGGAACTTTTGTGAAATAAAAATCTAGCTCATAGTTTTCAAACAGTTCACAGCCATTTCATTCATGGGTAATTCTGATTTTCCAACTAATATGGATGTCACTTGTATCAAGTTCTAAATTCTTACAGCTATTTGAGTGTTTTCAGATTTTCTATTAAGTTATATTCATTTATCTGTCTTTTTGGCTGTTAGCAAACAATTTGTGAAGATAGCTTGTTTTGATACCTAGGAAGGCAGGTCTTCACTACATTTTCTGAGTGACATCACAATAGCAAAAGAGGGTATGGGAATCAAGTGTTCTGTGATATTTTTATTGGCTTTATATAAAACTGATATACAAAAAACTCACATTTTGTGACTAATAAATCTTTCTAGTCAAGAACATGGAGCCATGTTCCCATTTCAGTTTCCTTGTAAGGTTCCTCAGTAAAGAACATACATGCACAGGTGAACACTGATAGAAAATGGATACTAGATTTTATCAGAGTAAGTTTTAGCCCTGAATTTGATATATTATGGGAAATATTTCATATTGTACTTTTTTTTACAATGTATACAACAATTCCTTTAATGTGATTTAAAGAACAAAATACTATATACACATTTGTTACTGTGGTTAAAACACTTTTAAGTAGTCAATAAAGTGATCTAAAACTTCCCATGGAAAGTTGATTTTACATCCCAAGCTCCTAGGGCAGAGAAGCTGAGCCGGTCCCAGCACCTGGAAGGAGGCTCCCCCGCTGCCATCCCAAGCTCCTAGGGCAGAGAAGGTGAGCTGGTCCCAGAACCGGGAAAGAAGCTCCCTTACTGCCATCCCAAGCTCCTAGGGCAGAGAAGCTGAGCCGGTCCCAGCACCCAGAAGGAAGCTCTCCTGCTGCCATCCCAAGCTCCTAGGGCAGAGAAGCTGAGCCAGTCCCAGCACCTGGAAGGAAGCTCCCCCGCTGCCATCCCAAGCTTCTAGGGCAGAGAAAGTGAGCCAGTTTCAGAACCCGGAAGGAAGCTCCCCCGCTGCCATCCCAAGCTCCTAGGGCAGAGAAGCTGAGCCGGTCCCAGAACCCAGAAGGAAGCTCCCCCATCACCATCCCAAGCTCCTAGGGCAGTGAAGCTGAGCCTGTCCCAGCACCTGGAAGGAAGCTCCCCTGCTGCCCTTCCATGCTGCTAGAGTAGAGAAGATGAGCCACTTAGGTGCCAGAAGCACCCCTCCCCCTGGGAAAATGAGAAGATATGTAAACAAGCCTCAAAAACAGACATCTGGATCACTTACAGCAACCCCAAAGGGAAACAAGATGGAACAATCATACTGAAACACCTGGATTCTCTGAACTGGCAACAAAAGACGATCTGGGAAAAATGAAATCAGAAATAATTTTTAACATAGAGCAAAGATTTTGCTCATGGTGCAAGACATGATTAATAAATCTAGAGAGGACACAGATAAAAAAAATAGAGGATCTGAGGAACATGATGGAATCCCAATATAGGAAACAAATGGAATCCATAAAACAGATGCAACCAGATTTCCAG